ATTTTTTATGAAAGTTGATTTCTAAACAGTTTAGAAAATCCAAACTCAAGGCCGTAGATGGTCAGACAGCGGGGCCGCGTAACAGTCTAAGACTTAGAAGATCTCTCTAAGAAGTTCAATAAAATTAACTTCATGTCTACATATTAGAGGGTCTGCTTCCACCAAGTTACTTGCCCAAGGACACAATGACCGAGACTGTCGGAGCCATCCCCAACCCCCGGGCCACAAACCAGTACCGGTCGTTTAGTACCGGGCCGCGAGAGTTGAGTCTCGGGTGTGAAATTCATGGTTATCAGGGCTTTTAACGTTTTTATCGTTATCTCAGTTTCCCTGGGTCTTTTTCCGTGTGTTATGAATAAATCTTCGTTTTTTTGGTACCGGTACTGGTTTTATTTTGTTGGATTTATCCGGCACACCTTAAAGGCTGGTCTGTGAAAGTATTGTCGGGCATAAACCGGTCCATGGCACAAACAAGGTTGGGGACCGCTGCTTTAAATAAATCAAGTTAAGTCTTAAATGCATTTCAAAGATGGAACTGCATGAATGCCACATGCATGGAAGCTTAATTTACTAAAAATCCCATCATATTTTACCAGCTAAGACTTCAGCGTAGTGACTGAGACCATATCCACATCAAGAAAGTCCTTCCTGAGGTCTGTGGCCATTTTTTCAGAGACTTCTGCACAATCAGACTTCTGCTGCTCCTCTAACAGACTGATTTATTTGGGAGGGAACTAAACTACTTCATGGAAACTTCTCTTCAGCTCATTAAAAACATTCACTTTTGCCATCAGACCTGGAAGTTTCATGTTTTTGGTTTAATTTTAAGAGACACACCTGTCAATAATAGTTGACGGTGACCTTTGATGAAAATCTTATTTAAAGAAATTGATTTAGCAGCTTAATCTCATTTGTTAATTATGTACAAAGACTTTTTGAAAAGATGTTTGTTGTTTAACTGCTTCACACGGCTGATTGCTGTTTATGTGTGACTGCTTCTTGGCTGAGGGCAGGAACTTCCTGGAAACAAAGCTGGTCGGCTTTGAGTGGCTCTCACCCAAGAAGATGCTTGGCAAACAACCATCAAATGGCAAATTAATGTGTTTATATCTTTTATGGATCGGCAGCTTATAAATACCAGATATTTTTACTCTTAAATCTCAGATGTCACAGCGCCTTACATGCATTAAACTGAGAAACAGCCGCAGCTGCATGAAAGCAGTCCAAGGCTGGTTACTGAAAGGTGGAAATTAGCCAGATGAGGAGGTCATTGTGAATTCTAACAAAGGTAACACGAGAGGACGAGTACATCCGATCTGTGTTAGTGTGCGACAGAAATAATCTCTGAGGTATGTCACCTATGACAGCACCGTTGGCCTCCGTGTGGATGGTACTGAGGCGTTTCAGCTTCATCATGGCTTTGGCCTCCTTTCGCTTCTGACGACGACGCTTCAGGTTCCCATTAAAAAAATCCACCACCTGAACCACAGACAACATGAAGGAAAACACAGTGTGAGACAGAACGAGCTCTGTGGCAGTTTACAAAGTGACGCACAGACGGGTACCTGTCTGCGGCACCAGGCCAGGCCCCGGGTGATCCTGTGAATAGCGATATGCAGGTTGTTCATCTCCCCGTCGTCGTCTGGAGCCGAGAGGTTGTCAGAGCTGAAACTGCTGAGGAGCAGAGCCAGGAAGAGGTTCAACAGCTGGAGACACAGAGAAAGACAGCGAGGGAGAGACGCTGAGTTTAGAAATTCAGTTTGTAAGACAAGATTCAAACGTGCGTCAGGATGTTCTCTTTGACGTCACGGTTTGCTGAACTGAACTGTGGGTGCGGTGTGAGCGTTGAGAAAACTTTTCAGGCTTTCTTTTTTCAAAAATGATCTTCATTAGTTAGCACTGATGGATATTTGCTGACTTCGCCAGTAAGCACCGAAACACCAGGGTTTCTCCCCAGAGGCTAAATCTGCGTCCTCGCTCCTGTCTGCACTGACCTCTAAAGCTAACAAAGACAGAGCATGGCACAAATCCAGCTGAGTCTCAGGGGAAGCTCATTAATATTTCAGGTACTTCGACATAAATAAGTTTTAATCCACTTTTACAATTTATCCTCTGGAGACCATGCATGTGTGAAGATCTTCAAGGTTGTTAGGAGTCATTAACCCTCCCTTTCACCCAGATGTTCCCAGTTGCTTCCATTCTCTCATCCTTTATTCTTTAGTTAACTCATTAAACACACACACACACTTACACACTCGCACACACACACAGCCTGTGTGGCGTCACAGTGTCCACGGAAGGTTGATTGCTCAGTGTGTGCTGAATAATGCCTGAGGCTCTTAGTAACTGATCACCAAGCCGGAGTGCTGCTCTTAGCCAGATTGCTTTTCTTTAACCACAACTCTGTGTGTGTGTGTGTGTGTGTGTGTGTGTGTGTGTGTGTGTGTGTGTGTGTGTGTGTGTGTGTGTGTGTGGTGACAGGTCAGGTGGCTCAGGTAGCAGCTTCCTGCATTTGTCTTCTGATTTCAGCCAGCAGACCTCACAGCAGCAGACAGGCAGGTTTGTTTCATGCTCAGAGGCACTTCGGCAGGCCTTGCTATGCTTGTAACATAAATGACACCATGAGCACCACAACAGTCAGCACGGGTCTATCTAACAGAACAGCCTACCAGATCAAAGTGTGCAAAGTGTGAAGCTGGAAAAGTTATAAAGGGTTTATCTTCAGATGTAAGATGAGGACTCGCTGCTCCTTTGTGTTGATAAAGAGCCCGATGAGGTGCTTTAGATCATAACGGTCCTGGATGCCCGCCCCCTTGGAGTTTTTTGGGGTGCATCCAACTGGGAAGAGACCCCGGAGTACTCTCCATAGAGATTACATATCTTGTCAAGCGTGGGATTACCCAGAAATAACTGGAAAACATTGTTGGGTAGAAGGGTGACCCAATTTCAGACAAATGAAGGAAAATGTATTAAATGTATTTTTATGGTTTATGAGACCATCTGAGCAAATTTTCTCTAATAGCAAAGGGTTATCGTCATAGTCAACCAAAGACATGTTGGAGAAGTTCTCGCAGATGGAACAAATTTGTCTTTTAACATATGTTGAGTTACAGATCTAACGCCAAAACCCAACCCTAACCAAAGAATCGAGAATGAACCCAAAAACGAAGTGAAAAAGAATCACAGAAGGTTTTCAAATCTACCCTGCATCCTAAACTCTAAACGAGAATCCCTGTATGTCAAACAACGATGCTGAGGCCCTGCTACTTCCTGTTAAAATATTTCCGATGTCAGCCTGGGTATGGGCCCTGTGTCCTCAGGTCATCCTGGTCCAGTCCAGCTCATAATAATTATCTCGCTGTCCATTTCTGCCTCGGCCCATCTATCAAACATTCACACGTCTCATTCACAGCTATTGATGAATGAAGCAGAGCACACACCCCGCAGGCTGGACGTCCCGCGGCTGGTTGTGTTTACGTAACGACTCAACTGGATCTGGCAGCTTTCCAGTTTCTGGTTGTGTAAGAGGAAACCGGGCCAGTGGGTCAATATCTGACACCAGGAAGCAGAACTCTGACATGTGTGTGCAGGCATGCATTACTCGTGTTGTGAGGACATGATGCAGCGCATGCAGTCATGTTGTCAGGACTTCCCTCCCAATTAATAAATCCTCGGTCACTTATATTTATTTATTTGTCCATTTTTTTTTCTTGAGAAAGTTTTCAGTCTGCTTTGTGCAAGTTTGTGAACTCTCCAATTATATTATTTAAGAGCTGTGACTAAATAGTATTATTTTACTTTAAACTGAAACTTTTAATTACCTAGGTTACAGTGTGTGTGTGTGTGTGTGTGTGTGTGTGTGTGTGTGTGTGTGTGTGTGTGTGTGTGCGCATTGATCCCAGCTGGTGGTGGCGGTGTGTGTGCTGTTGTTTATAGTACTGATCAGTGTTCTGCTGTTACAATCCCAGTTTCACCAGCCCAGGTCGCTGGAATTTGATTGGCTGTGCCCTTGACTCAAACACCAATAGATCAATGCAGCTGATTGGTTAACATGGCAACATACCTTGACAGGTCAACCAGTGACCTTGCTGCTTTCCAACAGTCGATAGGAGATTGCTGACAGAAGTCTGTTTTATCAGTTTATTCATTTAAGCCTGTTTATAGGTCAAAATATGCCCAACCTTAATTATGTTTAATTATAGTTTTGGCCACCTGGGGGCAGTAATATCACCGTTAAAAGTGAGGAAACAACCTCCTACACCTACTGCACACCCAGAAGTTTAGCGTAACACCCCCGTCCTTTTCCAGCTACGCTTGTCTCAACAGTATATATCTGCTCTTGGTCTCTACCAACATCTAAAATAAATATCTGGCTCTTTAGCTCGTGAATACTCCACTCTATGGTTCACCAGCTGCCCACTAACTGTCTCTGTCAGCTGTTTGCAGCTGAGTAATTTAATATTGATTCATTCGGCTATAATAGATTTTTTGATTGATAAGATTTGATAAATTATCAGGAATAGTAAACAAAGAAGATCCAAGGTATGAGTTGCTCTCTATCAGTCAGGATTTGGACCAGAAGCTGATATCGAGCACGCCACAGAGTTATGAATAAAAACTGTAACACACCGACTAACATCTGGAAATCCTGTACTCGGTGCTCAATTTCCTATTTTGAATTTAAAAAGTTCCTAAAACAAAACACAAGTATCACACGAAACTTCTAACCTGCATAAATAAAACACGATTCAGGCCAGAGACCATAAATGTGGAGTCATGTTGACTTAATCTAATGTGACAGGTGTCCGCTTGGTTCCAGCAGGACAGTCAAACTGGACTAAAGCCCTGCTGCTGTGAGAGAGAAAACCCTCCGTGAAACAGCTGCATGTATTATGATGAGGAAGTGTGTGAGGTGGATACAGTGAAAGAGGGAGAAGGTTTATAAGTGTGTCCGTGCATCAGCCGTGGATGTGTTTATGCTTGGTGACAGCGTGAGCCATCTGTGTGTGGGAGCGCGTGTCAATTTCTGGACCACCTGATCCCCCCAAATTCACCTCGTTTAACTCGTTAAACGGATCGTAGCAATTAGCCTGGGTATTGGGCCAACCATCCACGCACTCACTCACACACACACACACACACTCACACACACACACACACACACACACACACACACACACAGAAAGTTAAAGGCACAGCTGAGTCACTGGTCGAGCACACGGGCGACAGAAAGATTTTGTTATTTATTTCCATGTATTTCTGATTGGATGTGAGACTAATTTGACCTCTTTTCAAAGTTCAGGTAATATTCTTCTCACTGTTGCTGCGTCTGCTTTACTTTCACTTTATTTCACTTCAAAAAGCCGCACTGATAAAGCCGCACTGATCTCTACTCCATTAACTGTCTGCTTCATTATGTTGGTGATGCTGGTTTAAATCCATTCTAAAGTTTCTGTGCAGGTGAACGAGGCAGAACATCACTTCTTCAAATTACAAACATAGTTTGTATCGATTTTATTGGGTCTGTCTGTGCTTTCAGTGGCTGCATTTTTATGTAACACACCTTGTATCTCTTTTTGCGAGTGCTTCATGAATATAAAATCTAATAATGTACTAATAAGAACTATTATCTTACAGCAGTGGAGCTGGATGCAAATGTATCTGTGAGGAAGAAAAACATCTGATCGAGTTCTGCCCACATCATGATTCGATGTCTACATGCAAATGAGCTTGATGGAGTTGGTGAAGTCCAGCACAAAAAAGTGAGACTGCGGAGACGAACAGACGACAGGTTTGCCTGTAGCTGCTTGGCGAGACAACCCAAGCTAAGTCCTTCTAGAAGAAAGTCAGCAGCCATCTTTGGAACCAGTCTGTCCAGTTAATTTGTCCGTCGGTCAGTCAAATCTGAAATTAACTCATATTTTTATACAGTAACTTTAGTATATTTAATGAAAAGTTTTAAAATCATGCCGTGAATATATTGAGAGTTACAGGAAGTGACGTACAAATGTGGCGCTTTTTATTCTGCATTATTTTTCCATCATTGAGTCCTCATAATGTCTGTACAGGCGTTTAAAGCCAATCAACCAAATCAACTTTACACATGGCATGAACTAAAAAGAGATCAATAACAGGCGTGCACCAACATGATGTCTGCGAGGCAGAGGAACAGAAAGAAATGCTGGTGACCTGGATAAACTTCAAAAAGCACATTTTGGGTCAAACTGCCAGCTCAAAATCAGAGACAACCCAAACGATGGGCTGTAACGCCACCTGTTGGTTTCAAACGCAACAGTTTTTACCTTCATGGTGGTGTTTCAGACACTTCATTGTGTTGATGAAAAGGTGGAGTGCTGAGTTATCAGCTAAGCTTGACAGACATGTTAACATGAGACTCTGTGGGAATCTGACTCACTGTCGAAGCCTGCCTCGAGCGGCCATCAGAGGAACTGCAGGTTTAGCTTCATCTTTCTTGCCCAAACAAATTACAGCAAATTTTGCCTGCTGTGTATTTTAAAATCAGAGATCATTGACTGAGGAAAGCTGTTCCACAGTTTGGGCGCTCCAACCTCAAAAGCACGATCGCCTCTGGTTTTAAGATCAGAGCGAGGGACCGTTAGAAGGGTTCGATCGGAGAGCCGGCTGCGTTGATAAGGCAGGAACGTGTCCACGTACAGCTTTTTGTGTTAGTAACAGTGGATTCTGA